CGTTCCCTCTGCTCCTCTTCTCGTTCCCTCTGCTCCTCTTCTCGTTCCCTCTGCTCCTCTTCTCGTTCCCTCTGCTCTTCTCGTTCCCTCTGCTCCTCTTCTCGTTCCCGCTGCTCCTCTTCTTGTTCCCTCTGCTCTTCTTCTTGTTCCCTCTGCTCCTCTTCTTGTTCCCGCTGCTCCTCTTCTTGTTCCCTCTGCTCTTCTTCTTGTTCCCGCTGCTCCTCTTCTTGTTCCCTCTGCTCTTCTTCTTGTTCCCTCTGCTCCTCTTCTTGTTCCCGCTGCTCCTCTTCTTGTTCCCTCTGCTCCTCTTCTCGTTCCCTCTGCTCCTCTTCTCGTTCCCTCTGCTCCTCTTCTCTTTCCCTCTGCTCCTCTTCTCTTTCCCTCTGCTCCTCTTCTCGTTCCCTCTGCTCCTCTTCTCGTTCCCTCTTCTCCTCTTTTTGTTCCCTCTGCTCCTCTTCTCGTTCAGTTGTTGGTTCTGTTCTTGGTTCTGTTCTTGGTTCTTGGTTCAGTTCTTGGTTCTTGGTTCAGTTGTTGGTTCTGTTCTTGGTTCTTGGTTCTGTCGGGGTCAGACAGAACCCGCAGGCTCTGATCTGGCAGCTCGTGTGGAAGAATGTAACCTGAGAYCGGACCTTCCCCACAACACGCCTCAGATCTGAAGCCTTTGTCCTCCTCAGCCGCTGCAGGTGTTCATCAGGAGGCAATAAAACAAGCAGGGACTGTTCTGGGGCCCRGCCTACGTGATCCGGGCTGCAGAACCCGCTCCATGTTTACTCAGAACCGTGCAGCGGGGTCTGAACGAGTCAGCTTTAGGTTCTGCTGGTCCAAAGTGGAACAAATGTTGATAAAACATGATTTATTTAAAGAAAATCAGCTGGAGGAGATTTTTATTATCAACCTTTGAGCTGTTCTGCATTAAAGGGACAGTTCTATGTTAAACTGAGGTTCAGTGGGAAACTTAGCAGTCAGTAGTCTACCTGTTGCAGATAAAGTCAGAGTTCTGTGGTTTTGGAATCATTTTGTAWAAATCAAGCCGTCAAGTGTCGACAACTGTCAGCTACTACCACACCAAACTTTAGCTCAACACCTGACATTGGTGGGAACAGTTTTGCTAACCCGCTAATAGCAGAATTAGCTTCTCATTAGCCTTTTTGCTAACTTTGAAAACTGTTGGCAGACCAATTCACTTCCACTAAGTTTGGTTCCACTAATTTTAATTCCTCAAAAAATTCACAAGTGTAAAACTTCAATTAAATAAAAACTCTGCTCTTACTAGCAGTGCTGGAAAGCACCGTGTGTGTAGCATGTAGCATCTTTAGC